AAGATTCACTCCTTCAGGTCCAGAGGTCTTGACTTCATTTYCCTCAACACAAGCTGTGCCCACTACTGGAATGATTTTTATATAAGAAACGATAAGCAAAATAAAGGAATCTGTTTTTACACCCAAATCTGTCCTGAAGAGGTTCTTTCCTTTGACAGGCCTTTATTCCTGTGAGACTACCCACATGCAATATTTAAGGGATTAAGTGGTACAATAGGCTAAGTCTGTCCAGAGAGTCTTTCCTCTCTGGGCTCATGGTTGCCACAAACTTGATATGGCTTGGTGCTTTCCAAGTAGAATGAAGAGTTGTTTAGGGAATCTTTACCCATTTACAGAGCAGCCCAGTTACTGTGAGTGTTCTCAGGTCTGCTGAGAGGTCTGGCTTGGAAAAGATATTTAGAGTTCTATAGATTGGGCTTGGCATCGATAGAATAACTAGATGGTATCTTTGGCATTTTTTTAAACTCACATTAGGAGATCTGAAATCTTAATACAAATACTGTGTTAAGTCACATTCCCAAAGCACAGAAAAAGTCACTGGGAAACAAGTGGAAAAAAACAGTTGCTAAAACAAGGATTCATTTCTCAAGCAGAAAGAAACAAGTCAATGAGAACTCATGATGTCTCCCTGGCCACACAGAAAATCACTTCCCTGAGAACAGAACTTACATCTGTGGAATCTCTGCTCAGTGTTTCGGTTCAAACTATTTCTTCAGAAAGCAAATCAAATGTGCAATGTGGAGAAACTCGTCAGCTGGGGATGGTCCTGACAGCAATGTTTGAGACTGAAAACTAATGCATCAGTAACATCTTCCAGTTTTGCTGGCAGAAGAGGGAAGAGAGCACTAATTCCTGTTCGCTTATGCCTGCGTTGGCTGCTCTAAATTATTGATATGTCCCTTGAAACTGTCTCTGATCGTTTCCCATTGAGCACAGAGGCATGTAAGCAGAGACCTGGCCTAGCTGCTGGACTTGCTGCTGCTGAACTCAGCACACAAGCTGTTCAGAGCAGCAACAGATGTTTCTGCTTTTTAAGATCTGTGGGAATCTTACTTTTTTTTTTTCCTTTTTTTTTTCCCTCCTAAGTCTTCCTTGTAGGAACAAACGCCAACATAGCTGAGATCCAAAAAGCTTGACCTCAGCTCTATGTTATTGCTGGAAGGTATTGTGACTGGATATCCTATTGTCCCTCCTCAAGTAATAATCCAAAGATTCTTAATGCTGCATTTGTTCTTTTGTGCATAGCTTCTATGTGTTTGTTGCACAGCTACTTTCTGGCAATAAATACAGGAGCATGCAGACACTATTGTTTTCAGTGCAAGGAGGTCCTCAAGATTTGTCTTCTTTAGAAAGCATTAAGCAAGCTAAAAATAAGTTTGTCAGCAGCTAAAGCAAGACATCCCCTTCACCTTGTCTGTGCCATAAGCAAGCACTGGGTTCCTTGTATTGAAGGAGTCTGTGTCAAAGCTTTTCTTAGCAATGATTGTTTTGGGTTTAAATATGTTGGAAATCTGAGCCAAGTATATTAAATGTGAGACTTTCAGAATGAACAGATATTTATGGTGCATTTAACAAATATATATTAAGACTTTAGCCTGAGCATGGCATCATTCTGTGTATATCCATAGTACCTGCTCTTGCCAAASAAATCCTTGCTAGACGGAGGATTTACTTTCAGGAAAAGGTAGACTGTGTGCCATGTTTCCAAAGAGAGCTCCTGGGTGTGAATTAACAGCTTTGCTTTCAGCAGGAAGCTCTKAGATGCCATCTTGGCAGCAGCGTGAGCTCTGGCCTCCCTCCTGCTCTCCATCAGGAAGAAAAGGAGCCAACTGGCTGTATCCTGTGTTTGGGGTCAGGAATTGGGAAGAGATCACGTGCTGTGCGGGTACAGGCTTTTGCAGAAGGGTAGGATCAAGGAGACGGCATTTGTCTGCTACGATACCTAGCAAAGGAAACCTGAGTATTCTCTGACAWGCAGTTCTGCTCTTCAGCTCAGCAGCTGTGAGGAACCAAAGCACGAGCACAAGCTCCTGGCATCGTTCTTGCACCAAGACCATGTTGGCAGGGCATGTGCACTGTTCATATGTGGTGTACAGAGATGGCTTAAGTGTATTTAGTCTTTAGCCAATGGAGTGACAAAAGGCTCTGCTAGGTCATGCTTGGGTCTCAAAATGAAATGTTCCTCTGTCGGGGGCGGGTGGGAAAAGAATAACTGGCTCTTCACTTTTATGCACTGGGCCTCCAGCTTTGAGAATGGCAGCATTTCAGCTGCACTAATTTTTCCAGGAGGCTGTCAGGAAGCCTGTTCATTGCACTGCCTTAGGGAGGTGGGAATTTTCTTAAGTCCTGCTAGCCATGCTTATGAAATATGGTGCTGGATGAAGGCAAGGGAGCCAGTGCCCATTCATGGGAAATGTAAATCCCTCCAGCTTCCTGCTATTGCGGTTTGTTTAGAAATGGCTTAAGACTGAAAAATGAGGGTATCTGACAATGTTTGCATTACTGAATTTTCTATGTGCTGGCCTGGTATMGTGTGGTATTGGAATATGCCTGGCTTGCAGCACTCATGAGAATGGTGAACAAGACTGAGTTTCACCCCTGTGCTTCCACATTAGCAGGTCACATAATGTTTCTCTGTGCTATTTTCAGTCCTGGCTGTGATTGAGTTGCCAAATAAGTTTGCACGCTGTGAACACCAAGGCAGGGATGGCTTATTCCCTGTGCAGTATAGCCATCTGCTCTGAGCTGGCAGGTGGATGGCTACTAGTAACCGGCTCCATTGGAAATCTGGTCACTTCCCGATCAGCTCCATGTCCCAGAAATTGGCCTGACTCCGGTTCCCTTCCAGGGAACGACTCAAAGCAAATCCCGCTTTGCAAATCAGTGTGCTGCTTGCTGGCTGGGCCAGCCTCCCCTCTGCGGCAGCGCAAATGAGAACGCTTGGCAGGCTTAGTTGTCAGAAATGGTCGTTTGCCCAAACCAAAGCTTTTTCTGGGGAAATGTGAAGTCAAGGTGAAACTTCTGCTGAAGGGAAACCCTTTTGGAGGGGGAGAGCCAAGCTGTGGAACAGAAGCAGGCAGAGGACSGGACCAGGGGTCCGATCAGGGGTCTAGCAGATGTGCCGAAATGYGGGAGACTGCAGTGCAATGTGTGGGCCTAAGCAGGCTTTCTTTTCAGCCAGGGAGAAAGGAGAGTCCAGATCTCCCTAATTTTGTTTTTCTTCCTTTAGAGTCTACAAATAGGTGCCCAACTGCACCTAAGGTACAGTAGTTGCAAAGTGTGTCTGGAGCCCAAATACAGTCTGCAAGGGTGTATGTTGTAACAAGCTAAAAGCTCTGCACCTCATACCTAGAGATATTTATCTCAGACTTGTAATAAATTTCAGAAATTTCAGAGGGTTTTAAAATCCTTCCTGTATCACCTCTTCATCCCAGCATCACCCATGATTTTAAAGTGCTCTTTCATGCCGTGAACTTGCCACAAACCCCTTCCACAGCCCTGGCATGAGTCCCTTCCAGCACGCTTAGACACCAAAGAGTTTTCACCATTTCTAAGGTTAATTAATAGAGTTAAGTCAAGGCCCAGTTCAGAGAATGAAAGGATCAAATTTTAGTAATYCCTCTGATTTGTCTCTATGAAATCTGGCTTTGAGTGTGTCTGTTCCTGGAAGCCAGCACATGACTGAGACCTTCCTGATTTTTATGTTATATAACATCTAATGTTGCTTGTTGTAGAGATCTTGTAAACAAATTATTACCTAAAAGCAACAAAGAAGTGGAGGATAAGTAGATACAGCAATAAAGTCCCTGCTAATGTGAATGAATGTGCTGTGAGTGAGTTCTGGTGCAATGGTGAACAGATGGACTTTCCAAATCCTGCCTGAAGTAGTGGCAAGGAAAAACTTACATTAAGTATGTAATACACTTAGTACAATAGAAACACTGGTGGCAATGGCGAGGCTGTTGCTGGGTGCATTGCCTGCTAGCTTTTTAACTCTTCCATTGCAGCAATCTCAAATACAAAGACTTTCTACCTTTTTCTACATAACTGTATTTTCAGTAACTAGAGCAATAGTGGAATATAAAAYTATACAGGCCCTGTGACTTGCACAGCATAGGTGTGCAGGTTTCAGTACGATGGTTTGTACGTGTGTATGGAGCTTATGCTTTGTATCGGCGTGCAAGCTGGAGTAAGAATTTAAGGAGGTTCTGCAGTCTCACTTTAGAGCACTGCAGTTACAGATGCTATGACCAATAGATACTCTATTAACTAGGTAGAAGTGAATAACTGCTTTGTTTGAAACCAGGGTTTGGGATAAGGAAGGCTTTTTCTTTTTTTTAATAAATCAAGGGTGAATTTTTTAAGACCTGAGACCCCCGTATCCCACTGACAAGTTTTCTCTCCAGGGCTTGGTGCATTTCAGCAGGTTGTTTTCAGCATTGATGCTCCAAATTTTTTTTTTCTTTTTTTTTCCTTCCTCTTTTATTATTTGGCCAAGAGCTATTTGGCAAATTTGGATTAAATTTAGGAGTAGCTTCATATGCAATGAACTGCATATGAAACTGCAATTTTTGTCATTCAACAGCTCATCAAGGAAATATTTGCTGGTGTCCTGTTGGAAAGTAGTGTAAAGACTCATTTCTTTTTTTTCTCCCCTCCTACACATTTCTTTTTTTCTCCCCTCCTACACATGCCTGGCTTTGCAAAGGGCTTCTGTGCTGATCACACTGGGGTAGAGTGAGGCCTTGCTCCCCTGGAGGCCAAGCATCCTAAACCCTCGCAGACATCCATTTAGTGGTGACTTTCCACAGCTTGGAGGGTGAGGACATTTCTAATAAGGATGAGTAAGTCCTCATAGTGTTTTATGAATTAGCAGAACTCACAGATGTGGTTTTATTATGATGATATCATGTTCCCGAGTCTTATCAGCATTTGTCCCAGGTTGGACCAAGTTTCTGACRTGCTCAGTGTTTTGTTTTGATTGTTGTTGTTGTTTCCAGAGCCTGCTGCCTGCAGAAGTGGCCCTGTTTCCAGCAGGTTAGCAGTGTGATTGACCAGGAGAGCTGCTCTAGATTCCTGCAAGGTCAGCTTAAGAGCACTTAAGTTGCGCCTTGATTATCACCAAGCCACCATAGCGTGATGCTCCTCCCTTGCATAAACACACGACTCAACTACTTCTTCTCTGCAGTGCTGTAAACACTGGCGTGATTCACATTAAAGTGTCTGCCGCTGAAACGTGCCCGGATCGGACGAGCTCCATGCGCGATCCCGGCCGTTCTCRTGGGAAATATGCAGCTACTTGCGCCCGTGCGGTGCCTGACCCCGGCCACGGTGCAGGCAGCTGCGAGCAGCAGCTTGCTTGCTTGTTTGCTTATTTTTGCTGCTTGCAAAGCCCTTGGTGCAATCAGCATCTGTAACTGGGGCTCGCGTAGTCTGTGGCAATACTAATAAATATCTCTGACAACTGGACTATTTTTGGTTCTGCTTGGCTTGACTTTTTTTTTTAAGCTTGGCTTTCTTGCACATTCCAATTGCAGAATGAAGGCCATTCGGTTCCTATCACAGCAGATTAAAGTTGCTGCTCTGAAGAAATACTTAGTTTTCTTTCTCTTCTACTTGTCTCTTATAATTAGTTCATTCACACTCTTATTTCCAGTTAGCCAGATAAATCAGTACAACTTTTCATGGTAAATGCTTGTGATGTGCAATTACACTGTCAGCCCTTGATGAAATGCATTTATTTGTGTCACCAGTGTGATAGTTGGGTTTTATTGGCATCRCTAAGAATAATTTGGGATGTACTGCCATCTAATGGCCCTGTTAACAATAGGGGAAGCCTAATAGCTTGGCTTGTGTTAGCTTCAGAAAGAGAAATGGAAAGGTTTTCTGTTCCATTATGGAAAATTGTATTTAAATTACACTGTTGAAGATGATGTGCAGAGTTCTTTTTTGAGTGTTTGGGGTCTGGCAGTCTTTCCCATTCTTGTTATGGTCAGGGRAAAGTGTCACTGAAGCAATATACTCATATTTTACTGTCATGTAAGCTGAAGAATTTTTGAGTTTGTGTCATTAAACTTAATGACCTTTCCCAAAACAAAAAGTCATAAGCGAGCTTTTGACTTTAAATTTTGGGAAGTCTTCCTCTGGCTTTGGCTTGACTGTCTCTCCTAGAGATACAAGACAGGGAGTGAATTCAGGCCTGAATTAAAGTTGTTGCTGCTCTTTCAAAAGAGGAGCTTTAAAATCCAGATCATCTCTGACCTCTGCCACTAGGAAACACATCCAAAATACACTTCTGGATGTGTTTTGCTGTGATTTCTTCAAACTACAAAACCAATACCCTTCCCAGCAAGCCCGAGAATGTTTCTGCTGTGCGGAAGCTGGCACATGATTGACGGTGTGAAAATGACTGTCCTTGTTGCTCTGCAGTCTGGCTCTGCAGCCAGTCTTCAGCCCTGACTCTGGCTCTGCTCCCACCACCGTTCCCTGAACATCCCTGCACATYCTGTTTCTCTTACCTGCTCTATATTCGACTCATCCAACCTTCTGTTTTCAGCACCTTCCGCTCCTGGAATATTAGAAATATTCCCTGATCGTTTTGTACCAATTGTCATTTATTAAATCCCCTCTTAGTGCATCCTCTCACAGCCCTGTACATACGAAGCCTGTAACTCAATAGCTTTATGCGTGTAGTGCTGTGATGGAGTGTCCAAATTCGCTTGTAGTCCTTTAGGACACCAAGAACATTGGGAAGTGTTTATGTCTCCTCCTTGCACCTCTTAATGACAGTCATGTGTGTGTCTGATATCCAGRCATCACCTGGAGATACTTTAGAAAACATTATGTACCTTAAGTGTTGTTATTTACATCTCGGGCTTAACTGAAGGGGGAGGAAAGGCAAGGGTATGACCACAAAAGAATGCAGCAGTTAAAGAAATAGCAATGTCTGAAAAAGCCCAGCTGGTCAAAAGTTGTAACTACGAATTACTTAATTCCCTTAGGATTTGAGGGGCTAGATTTGCATTCARAGTCTCTGACATGAACAATTAACACTTCTATTCGTCTCTCTTTTTAAATGATGCTGTAACTATATTACCTTGGCGTAACCACGATGTCTGTGGGTGCGAATGAATTGGATTAAATGACTAAAACCCTTAAAAGATGTGAAAGCCATTCTGGCAGCGTGCAATAGAGTGTCACTGCTTAATCTCATGGACTGATTAGTGTCCTAGGCTTGTCCCTCTAGGGAAGGGAAACGCAGCAGAGCCATTGAAGTAATTGCTGGGTGAGAGGAGAGGGACTGCYCTGAAAATACTCATAAGGAAGTTATGTGCAATAAAGAATTTTTTTCTCTCTGTCCTAGGGAAGATGCAAGCAAGTAGGTTATACTTCAAGAAAAGGAAGCTTTTCCTCTATGGAACTAGAGGAGCACAGATCAAACATTATTCACTGSAGTTTCTTCAATCTTTGCATGGTTTCAGGTAAGGAGTGAGAGYTGAGATTATTCAGGATGAACATTTTTCTTGCAGAGTGCTTGTCTATGCCTTAGGATAAGACGAAACAAGGAGGTTCTGGTGCATTGCATATACTTTCTTTTTTTTCTCTCTTTCTTTCCAGTTTCTTGAAGCTTGCAGTAGGATAACCCTAGACTAGGATCACCTCCAGTCTTAATTGATTTGCACCCAAGGTCACTTTGGCTGAGGCCTTACATACCYGGCAGTCATAGTGTTGTTCTAACAATGACTTATTTGCTTAAATCCAAATGATTTCTCTATGCCAGTGTCAGGCAGCACATACTCAACCGGGAATTTCAATTTTTCACTTGGACGCTTAAGTTCYGCCTGGGATGGAGTTCTGTTAAATCTCATGTAACCTTGATCATTTTGAATGAAAAGTCAGTTGGCAGCAGGAGGTCAAAGGAAGTAGTTTAAATAGGTTGTTTTTAATGGAGACTAKCAGTTAGGATTTAATGTGTTTGGCCCAAGCTGAACTTTACAATGAAATCTTAAATAGCTTTTAGRTTGGTCTTCCTTCCTCCGAGTTCTGAGCTGACTGCAATAAGCCTTGTGCTACACTTCAAAGTTAATCAAGTATTTCAAAGTTTATCAAAAGGAAAAAAAAAGAAATCGTATAGTGTGATGGGAATTAGTGAGATGGTAAGCTAGTTTTGGAAAAAGAGCAATATTTTGTGCAAAGGAACTTGTGTGGCACAGAGAGGATGTGGTAGGGTGGACTTTTCTGTCTGGGTAGCAGCTAGGGCAACAGGAATGATTTTAGATATCTTTAAATATCAAATCAAAAATTTGACGTCTTGATTTAAAGACTCTCTTTTGTTCAACAAGCCTGTGTGATAGCTGCTGCAGAAAAGGCTCTTAGGCCAGCAGCGCTTATTCTGAGGGGRCAAAAATTAGTAGAAGTGTTAAGTGAGCACAGGAAAATCTCTTTCCAGACAAAATCCTCAGAAGTCCTTCTACTTATAACCTGAAATGCTCAGAAATCATCGACATCTCCTGGACTGATGCACAGATGCTGCAATTTTAACCATATTCTACAAGCTTGCTTCTAGCCCACTCCCATGCAGAACTGTTAACAATGGTATTGGGTGGCTGGTAAACCTTACAACGCCAATTTTCAGAGTTCTCCTGTGGTGCAAGCTGTTCTCCTCTGGGAAAAAGATGATTGGTGACTTGCCTACAAGGTCAGTGTCTCCAGAACAGATCTCAGCATTCTTGGCATGGAGAACAACTTTCCTCAGCCGTTTGGTCTAAAAATAAGCTCATTGTTCTAGTATTTTTGCTCATCATGTTAATATTTGTGCTCCTTTTAGAAAGAAACGTGGTCAGCCATCTCTTTCATTTCTCCTCATCAACTGCCTTTTCCACCTCACCCACACTATCTGTGCAGAGTGGTTTGTGCCTGCAGGATCTGGACATGCTCTTGGCTGCTTCTTACTTTTTCCTCTTTTTTCTCTTGCTATTGTTTTTTCCTCTTGCTATTGCATTTGCGTACAGAAGCACTGTGAGTACTGGACGAATCCACGTGTGATGAAACTGTGTTGTTGGCTTTGTCTCCAGCTGCTTGGTTCTGGCCGCTGGTYCCTCCCAGCAGTGTACTGGCCTGTGCAGGTTAACAGAGACGTATGAGTGATAGAAAAACAAGATTTCTGTAAAACCTCAAACGCCTCTGGGTGTGAATGAGATGCASCGGGAAAGACCTTGCAAGTCTGTTGTTGGAACCCTTCTAAAGTGAAGCCAGGCACATCTCGCAGCCAGAAAGCAAGTTGGGTCAACAAGTTGGCGGAGCTTTTGGTTCAGTTTCGGCCTTTATCCAAYGCGAAGGCCCTGTGAATGCTGACGAAGGCAGAGCTCTCTCCCACTGCAGGAGTTTGAGGGCTTTATAATWGCTTATGCTGGCAGACTGTGTAGTGAAACGGGGCTGGAGTGGGCAGGGAGGATATGCATWAAAAAAATTGCCTTTGTTTAACTCTGACACTTTCAGAGTTGTGGAGCAAAAATAAATGTTTCCATGTCATCCTCAGCCCTAGTTTATTGCTTTTGTCTATGTTTCCAGCTTTTAAGATGCAGGGATGAGAAAAGAGACTTTGGAATACAACAAGCAGTCTCCCCATGCAGTTGTGCCCTGCTGAATCTGTGCGATTCCCTGCATAGGTATATTGGGTCTCTGCCCCAACCTTTGCTCGCCTCTCTTTAGCTTTGTTCTAGGCGTTAACATGAATCTGAAGGTTTGGGATGAGATTTGAAATTGCACGTGCTTATAATTCTGCTCATAAATTAGCACTGAAAAGCTATACTGCTTTGCTSCAATATTTACCTGGCTGTATTCTTGCAGTGTAGTCTGCACAGGTACATAATTGATAGATAGCTGAAGTCATGGCTTAGAAATCTTTTCCATTGCCTTGTGGCTTTCTCTGACCTATCTGGCTCAGGATCCTATTTTGGGATTGARGTTACTCCTTGGTAATGCAGATCTTGCTTTCGAGGCAGCTTTGCTTACGCAGTGCTCGAGGACGTCCCTCTTCACTTTACAGTTCCAAGGCTTTCTGGTTTTGTGTTTCGCTGTTTGCCTTTGTGTGACATAGCTGACTGACTTTGCTGTCCACACATAAGAAATCTTGTGCACTTCCACGTGGTTGTCATGAGAATTAATTATTATTAATTTTGTGCAGATTGAGTGCTCACTTCTCCAAATGGCTGTAGACAACACGGACAACTGGGAGAATAAGAGGAAAAATATGTAGGTACCAGCCACAAGCAGGGTTTGTGTAACTGCAGGCGTGCAAGTCTGAGCTCTTTCAGTGCAGTACTCTCCTGGCAATTACAGCTCAGTAGAAAAAATATCTTTTCAAATGTAGGTTTTTGTTTTGGAGTAATGCACTCATGGCTGCTCACTTTGCACTCTTTAGTCTTTTAAAATACCTCTTGTAGTGATTTGACAACCTGTGGCATATA